ATAATGTTTCGATTCATATATGCAAATGCTTCCCAATTTGCAGCTTGTCTACCCCTGTCGGCTATGTACCTCACACTACCATCAGGTTTCACATTAAAAGCCTCCCAGGAAGGGGAAGGATTAGAGCCCTGAAGCTCCAGAAATATTTCATATAATATTTCTAAATCAGGTGTTGAGAAAAAAATGCTTTTTGTATCGCGTCTGTTATTACAATTACATTTTAACATGTCCAATGATGATGGCTGAACAGTAAGCACGAACTGCTTAAAAATACAAGGATAATGATGGCAATATTAAACACAGGCACAGTACATCTTGGCAACATGAGACACCCACACATAAAGTAGTACATAAGCAGTAAAGCAGTACATGCTAACATAAAGTGTACTTATGAAAACCAAGAGGGAAGGCAATAAGAGGCTCCATGTCACAGTAGCTTATATTTATATAAGCTGCACATGAATGTGCCCTTCATAAAGCAGCATGTCTTTGCCAGAGTAATGGAATATGTAGGACTCTGATAAAAAATGTTGTGGTTATAGTTGGGGGATGTGGCTGTTCTTAGGCGCCACTCCTATATTTAAACACATTGACGTTGACTGAACATGCTAGTAAACCAGGAGTACATGGGAGCATTCAGGCCCTCAGTGAGGTGTCACAGGCTTTGTTCAGACCTGGTATTAACTTGAGTCTCAACCCTAACCCATCAAAAACAGACTGCTTGGACAGCAAATGGTATTCTAGTGTTAAGGTGTTCAAATTTATTCAACTAGTATTCATTATTGACTCTGGATTTTTTTATTACTGTGTTGACTGGTGTGCACACGGCACTTTAATCACCAGCAACCATGTAAGACCTATCAAAGTCGTGTTCTGTTTTAATTTCTATATGTTGCATGTTTTGTTGCAATACATTTGCACTTTGGCCTGTGAGAAATTATATTTTGCAAGAAAAACTTATGGAATAAAATTATGCTTGTTTTACAGCAACTAAACAAAATGTAGTTATACATAAGTTGTAGAGCCAAACATTTACATAGCTGGTGGGAAACACATACTGGGATACTTGTGTTAACAATCAGCTCCAAAGCCCCCTGGATAAAATGAGCAGAGTAAGAATACTTGAGGACCGGTCTGGGCTAAACGTTGACTTGGAACAACTGAAACATGACAAATGATGTTGCAACTCTAAAAGAACAGAGAGGAATGCTGTGGTCTGGCAGACCACACTGAGGGCTTGAAAAGCCTTTCGTTCTGGATAGCCCCCTCATCACTGAATAGACAGACTGGGAGGTAGGGCTCTTATGTTTACATACCAGGCTGTCAGTGGGTTATACAGCACCAGATTCCCAGCCTGGACCCTTTAACATCACATAAACAAGGCCATAATTAAAGCCTCGTGGGCAACATTACTTAACATACCTTATGCTGCCGGAGGCATCTTGTTTCATGATGAATCAGATTTAACCAAACTACATCTATACACTACTTTTGTTCATGCACATTTTCATTTGCATCATACCTGTGTAATAAAGAAGATTTTTTGTCAGTTGAGTTTCAATATAGAACTATCTATATAAAACTTCCCATTCCCATATTCACATAATTGTATTTGGTCTCCTGGCCACCAGTTGTTTTCTGTTGGAATAACAGTGATGGCTTCAGAGGCTCATTATGGGTTCATTTACAAAGATGTAACATTTGTCATCATTACTTCTTGCCTCCATGCTTCTTCTAAAGTGTAACTATCAAGAACAGATTTACTAAGAAAATGGCGTTGGGTGAATGTGAGCTAGAGCTTCTGATGACTCTGCAGCTGAAACCTGCACCTGTATTCAGCATCTGATTTACTAAGACAGCAGCACATTATACTGTCAGGCTATGGATTGAACCTGGTGCTGACCTGCAACACACAGCAACAAACAGGTGCTGCTCAGTGAAGAGATTTCACTAAACTCACAAAGCTCCAAAAAATACATAATCTTGACTCCATATGTTAGACTCACAGTAGAAAAGGAATATGGATGTTACTGCAGGAAATGCAACCAAAAGCACATTTAAATGTGCTAAATCTTATATCTTGTCCTGTCCCTATTATTTGTCGAATGCATATGGAAGGTGGAGAGGTGCACCTTGCAAACACTTGCTAAAATGACATGAAAGCTGTAATGCCAGCTTGCAGAGTCTCTTTGATAAATGCAGCACGTATGTTTGTCTGTCACAGAACTCAGGCTCTTAATGCTTTGGGTCTTTTCTCAAGTAAAAATGATAAATTCAGCTATAACCAAACACAGGCATTGACAGAAGACCTCANATTTGTATTGCTAACTTCCCTACATATTCAACATTAGTGCACATGTAGCCATTAATTTGCCTCAGTGAATCTAGCATTAATTGTTTATGGGTCCAACTGAGGCTGTTATCTTCACTGGTCTTCACCACTCACTGCTAACTAATTACTTAATTCCATTACCTTTAGTGCTAATTTACTTGTGTTTAACAATTCAACAATGGATTATCTGATTAGATTTCCTAATCAGATACAGTCATCTGGATTACGTTTAACGTTATAGTTGTATGCATGACAACTTTTCAAGATTTTACAACACTGTGGTCTTTTCTGATTTCCTTTTCAGTACCTTTTAAATAAGACATTTCCTAAAAACAGCAGTGCTTCAAAACAGCTGAGCAGTCATTAGGTAATCATACTCTGTTCTGCTCTTGTCACACATTCTTTACAGCTCAACTGGATGGTGTTGTATTCTACTTAACTGGGTTACTTTATATTATAGTCCTTATAGACTGTATATTACTATGCTAACAATGATAGCCATGCTAATTAGCTGCTAGCCTCAATTAATGACCATTGAGAGTTTGCTATATTCAGGGCTGCAAGAGTAATCGCTCACACACAATCAACATGTCACACACAATGGCTTAGACACTGACAGGTGCACCAGCATGCAGATGAGACATGACAGATCTGTTTTACCAGCCGGCACAGCAGCTAGCTGCATTGTTTTTTTGTTGGTTCTCCTGTCTGCAGGGTTTATAAAAAAAAATCGGAATTAGCTACAACCTTATTGGTTACTATATAGACAACACCTGTTGAGTAGGGCCAACAAAATATTTCGGTCCAAGATGTCGGTTCTGGTGTAAAATCTAGGGGTCATTGAAGGTCAACTACGAATTTTCTCCCTCACATTGAAGGAGCTAACCTTAAGAGTATAGAATAGAAAAAGAGGAATTGAACTTTTTATTTCTTTTTTTTCGACAAAACAAACCACTTTTAAAGGTACAGTGTGTAGAATTTTATGATATCTAGTGGTGAAGTTGCATGTTGCAGCTGTAAAGATAAAGTATTTAAATGTAAAGGGCCTTTTCTAGGGTAAAGACACTACAATTCATATAATTTAGATGAAACGAATTTGAGAAACATGAGAAATATTCTACATTAGTTTTCTGCCAATAGATCCCTTTCACCTAAATCTTATACACTGGACCTTTG